CTAAAGTTCTTTAATCTTTAATTCTTTAGTCTTGGTCACTTGACTTTACAACCTCTTCTTTACTCTTCTAATAAAATCGGTTTAGACTAGACTACGGTCCCTAGATCAGATCAAGATTCTAGATCTAGATTTCTAGATTTAGAGTTAGTAGAATCAAGAATCTACCTCTAAACTCTAAAATCTAAAACTCTAAAACTAAATCATAGTATTACTATTAGTAAATCTAACGAGTCGGTTATATTCTAAATAAAATTCTAGAATCTAGATTCTAGACTATATTAAAATCTGAAAAGTCAATTCTTTATCTAGATTTAGAATCTAGATCTAGATTAGATTTTAATTTTCTATCTCGATTTCTAGATCTAAATTCACGAAATTCTGATTCTAAATTCTTGAGTTTGTTTTGAAGCCAAAAGCGAAAGTAGCTTTCCTAACTTAAAAAAAAAAAGATTTAATAAAAATATTCAGATTTGGTTTAAAAAAACGCCAACCGGCAGGACTCCATTTGGACTCCACTTCAACACCCAAGATGCCGTTTAATTTTAGAGTGATGTCGCTTTAGGGATTTGTGGGGGAGGAGGGGGAGTCGGGAGTAGGACATTATTCCCGGGTTGGGTAAAATAGGGCATTCTTGGTTGGCTTCGGGGGGGGGGGGGGGGCAATTTATTGAGGTTGGCTGGGTAAAACGGGACAATGGGGTTGGCGGGGTAAAACAGGACAATGGGATTGGCTGGGTAAAACAGGACAATGGGGTTGGCTGGGTAAAACGGGACAATGGGGTTGGCTGGGGACGATGGGGTTGGCTGGGTAAAACAGGACAATGGGGTTGGTTGGGTAAAACAGGACAATGGGGTTGGCTGGGTAAAACAGGACAATGGGGTTGGCTGGGTAAAACAGGACAATAGGGTTGGCTGGGCGATTTGAGATTTCTTCTGGAAACTTCCGACCTGTCCGTAACTCAATGTTTCACTAAATTTGTTGTGTTCTTAAGATTTATTAATTAATACGGTTTACAAAAAAAACAGTAAACATTTATTGTGTATAAGATGAAGCACATTGAAATTTAAACAGCAAGAGACATGAAAACACATCCTTCATGGAAAGATGTATCTCGCAGCTAGAAAACTGTGAAATCCCTTCAATGTGCCCCCACCCCCACCCCCAAAAAATGGCGCCCGTTTTTTAAGGTTTCGTGATCTTCTAATTGTCTGTTTTAATGGAGATACGCGTCTTCCTCTTGCAAAAATTATTTTTTATGAATCTCTCATGCGCAGGAAGTAGATTAGCGCGTGACACGATGTGTGTGAGCAGAAACAAGTGACGCAACAAGTGAATGATAAAAATATCTGTCTGCCTATATATATATATATATATATATATATATATATATATATATATATATATATATATATATATATATATATATATATATATATATATATATATATATATATATATATATATATATATAGGGGGAGCAAAAAATTCTTTATGTTTTTAATTCTAGTTCCGTCACTAGATCAAATTCAAGGGGCCATCATAGTGACAAGTAATACTTAATTGTGTTGGAGGAATATTTTCATATTTCTATTGAGAACAAAAAACAAAAGAATAATCTAAAATCTAATCATCTTTTTATATCGAGTATGTGTGTGTTTGTGTCTGGCGTATGTGGTGTGAATGTAAAGTGTATATGTGTGTAACCCCCTTAAAAAAATTCTCGTAGATTTCTAAACGTCGACCACGATTACATTTAAAGCACAAAGTGTTGGGAGTCGCAGGGGACGGCAGCACGAGTGGAACACTGCACCAAATTAGATTGTCTCCCTTAATGGCTGCAGTACGATGGCGACGAGATAACTCGTGCACTCACTGGATGCACTACAATGTCTGCATCGTTGAGGTCTGTACGAGCCGTCACTCTGATACAGTAGAACATCCACGACGTGATAAATAAAAATATTTTAAAAAATGTATGACTTGATATTGAATTGATGGTGGCGTGTCGAGTATAGCTCGATGGTGTACTTGTGTGGGTTGATCTAAAGCTTATCTTAGAGTGGTGCAGGGGAGGCAGAGTCACCCTCACCCCATCCCCCGCCCCCACCCCTCCCCCACCCATTAACAAACGTGTCAATAGAAAGACAAGTTGTTCTGAAAATATTTTGCACAACTGACCCCAGTGGGTTGTTGTTGTCCCACCCCTACAATGATTATCTGTATGTGTATAGTACTGACATGGACGGAGTGGTCTAGCTGAAGAGAACTGGACTGCTAACCCATAAGTCTTGGGTTCAAGTCAGTAGACCGTCCCAGCTCTGATGGATACCTAAAGGCGGCTGGGCATAGTGCTGACCACACTATCTCTTCATATGCTGAGGTCACTGAAACAGTTGAACTCTACTTCACTTGCCCCGTAGACCGTCAGGTTTGAAAGGGAAGTTTACTTACTGTTTTCAGTGTGTTAGAAATATTCATGTTCCGTTTTGACAAAATTGGCGTCTTTTTTACTTTCTCGTATATACGTAGTATAGAGAAAGTATTGTAATCGTGCAAAAAAAAAAAATCGAGATTTTTACAAATCTCGACGTTTTACACCTCACTGATACGGAAAAACATAATTTTGCAATCTTGTCCGTATGTCTGTGTGTGTGTGTGTCTGTGTGTCTGTGTGTCTGTGTGTGTGTCCGTGTGTAAACACGATAACTTGAGTACCGTTACAGCTAGGTTGATGAAATTTCATATATAAGTATTATATCAAAATCGTAGATCCGTATCAACTTTTGAGCGATTTCCGACAACCGGAAGTGGTACTTTTCCTACTTTGAATTTTTTAAAAGCCTATAACTTGAGTACTATTTCAGATAGATAAATGAAATTTCACATGTAAGTAAAAGATCTAATTCTCTACCTTCTGTTAAATTTTGAGTAATTTCCGTTGACTGGAAGTAGTAATTTACGCTACTTCCGATTTCTCAAAAAACTAATGTAAATTTTAAAAGTACTAATAATATTGCGCACTATTATGCGCTTTTTACTTTCTCGTATATACGAAGTATAGAGAAAGTATTGTAATCGTGCACAAAAATCACTTGAAATTTTAACTATTTTCACCGTATTACACCTCAGTCCTTCATCACATCCGAAGTATAGAGGACTTATTTTAATCGGGCAAAAATTATCAATCCAGATTTATCAAAATTAAAAGGTTTTATGCGTATTCCAGTCTGAAAAACTGGGCTTTGCAATTCTGTCCGTATGTCTGTGTGTCTGTGTGTGTGTGTGTCCGTGTGTAAACACGATAACTTGAGTACCGTTACAGCTAGGTTGATGAAATTTCATATATAAGTATTTTATCAAAATCGTAGATCCGTATCAACTTTTGAGCGATTTCGGATAACCGGAAGTGGTACTTTTTCTACTTTGAATTTTTCAAAAGCCTATAACTTGAGTACTATTTCAGATAGATAAATGAAATTTGATATGTAAGTAAAAGATCTAATTCTCTACCTTCTGTCAAATTTTGAGAATTTTTCGTTGACCGGAAGTACTTATTTACGCTACTTCCGATTTCTCAAAAAACTAATGTAAATTTTAAAAGTACTAATAATATTGCGCACTATTATGCGCTTTTTTATTCGCGTTCACTTGGTGTGCAATTAATTTGTCTACGAGATTTTATTCTATTTTTAAAACTTTAAGTATTTAAAATGGATTAAAAATCATGTCTATAGCCCGAGTTTCCATCCCCTGTTATTTTATATAAGAATATTCGAGAAAGTTTAGGGGAGATCACTCCCGGTTTATTTTATTTGCGTTCACTTGGTGTGCAATTAATTTGTCTACGAGATTTTATTCTATTTTTAAAACTTTAAGTATTTAAAATGGATTAAAAATCATGTCTATAGCCCGAGTTTCCATCCCCTGTTATTTTATATAAGAATATTCGAGAAAGTTTAGGGGAGATCACTCCCGGTTTATTTACTTTCTCGTATATACGTAGTATAGAGAAAGTATTGTAATCGTGCAAAAAAAAAATCGAGATTTTTACAAATCTCGACGTTTTACACCTCACTGATACGGAAAAACATAATTTTGCAATCTTGTCCGTATGTCTGTGTGTGTGTGTGTCTGTGTGTCTGTGTGTGTGTCCGTGTGTAAACACGATAACTTGAGTACCGTTACAGCTAGGTTGATGAAATTTCATATATAAGTATTATATCAAAATCGTAGATCCGTATCAACTTTTGAGCGATTTCCGACAACCGGAAGTGGTACTTTTTCTACTTTGAATTTTTCAAAAGCCTATAACTTGAGTACTATTTCAGATAGATAAATGAAATTTCACATGTAAGTAAAAGATCTAATTCTCTACCTTCTGTTAAATTTTGAGTAATTTCCGTTGACCGGAAGTAGTAATTTACGCTACTTCTGATTTCTCAAAAAACTAATGTAAATTTTAAAAGTACTAATAATATTGCGCACTATTATGCGCTTTTTTATTTCACGTTCACTTGGTGTGCAATTAATTTGTCTACGAGATTTTATTCTATTTTTAAAACTTTGAGTATTTAAAATGGATTAAAAATCATGTCTATAGCCCGAGTTCCCATCCCCTGTTATTTTATATAAAAATATTCGAGAAAGTTTAGGGGAGATCACTCCCGGTTTATTTTATTCACTCACATGCTACCCATAAATCCTGACTACGCACCAGTCTACAATACAGACATAGTTCTACTTGTATTCTTTCAATATACCGTAAACACGAGAGGTAACTGATTAGTTACACTAGAACATTGCAACCTTTTCTGTCGAGAGTATTCGCACCTTTAACACATCACGTACACACTTCTAACACGTGTATTGAAAAACTTCACCAATTATAAAGTAGTTTAATCATTTTAATTACAAAAAAAACATATTCTACTTGTATTTCAGCCTAACTACAGTAAGAAGAAGACACTTAAACCCAGACAGTAATTTCACCGAACGCTCCATCCAGCTGGATTGACCATCGGTCAAGCGGTTGGTGTTAATCTACAGCCAATTTCTTGAACGTCCCGACCAGGCCGTCTTTGGCCACGCCCCCAGCGCTCTCTGACTCCGCCCCCTGTCCGGAAGTGACGTTCATGTCCAGGAGTCCGAATTTGGCGTCCTCCTCAAACTGCTTGTCGTACTTCAGGATGACGTCACACCAGTCCTGGAGCAGACGACAGAGAAATGTAGGTCAACTGGATGATTTCACGTGGAATTATTGGACCTCGTTTTGATATTATTAGCTAACGGGATTTGGGAGACTTTTATCGACATGACCTATTTATATTTGATTGACAGCCACAAGGATGTTCTTTTAAATAATGTTCCCGAAATTGGTCAGCACGGCCTAGCGGTAGAGAGCTATACTGCTAACCCAAAAGTCTCGAGTTCAAGTCAGTAGAACGTCCCTGTATTCACCAACCTCTGATGGGTACCTAACTCACTATAGTGAAAACAAAGGTGGCTTGACATAGTGCTGACCACATTATCCCCCTGTATGCCGAGGTCATTGAAACAGAAAAACTTCGTATAAATCATGTCGACGAATAGGACAACCCCAGAGTTTCTTCCAGTTAATTCTACAACGGGGATTCCGCCCCGCAGCCACCCCCCATCCCCCCCCACACACACTCCCCCGAAAAACGGTTAATAGAGAGAACATCTATAACTGAAATATCACTTGACCTATTCAATTACTGTAGCTATGCCATTTAGTTTAATTGCTGACATAATGACATAATTATATGCCGTAACAATTTTTTTTTATTTTTTAGTACTAAAAACATTTTTCCTAATAATATTCATAAAATAATGTCTTTCTCTTGACAACTTGATGAATTATTTAAGTAAACGTAGCTAGGAGGACAATTTTGTCATTTCGATAATGACCTAATGACCTGCCCGACCTGCCTGACCTGCCTGACCTACCGTATCAGTGACGTTTTGTTTGGTCCCGCCAAAAGATTCCGGAAGTAGCTCGGGGTCGATGTGCTCGTGTAGGCTGGAATATCTGGTGCCATGGAAGAATATCTGCAGATACCGGAGGTCAGGGGTTAAAGGGTGAGACGTCACGGGAGGTCAGGGGTTAAAGGGTGTAACCTCATGGTAGGTCAGGGGTTAAAGGGTTAGACGTTATGGGAGGTCAGGGGTTAAAGGATGTGACGTCACGGGAGGTCAGGGGTTAAAGGGTGAGACGTCAATAGAGGTCAGGGGTTAAAGGATGTGACGTCAATAGAGGTCAGGGGTTAAAGGATGTGACGTCAATAGAGGTCAGGGGTTAAAGGATGTGACGTCACGGGAGGTCAGGGGTTAAAGGGTGTGACGTCATGGGAGTTCAGGGGTTAAAGGGTGTGACGTCAATAGAGGTCAGGGGTTAAAGGATGTGACGTCACGGGAGGTCAGGGGTTAAAGGGTGTGACGTCATGGGAGTTCAGGGGTTAAAGGGTGTGACGTCACGGGAAGTCAGGGGTTAAATGGTGTGACGTCACGGGAGGTCAGGGGTTAAAGGATGTGACGTCAGGGAAGGTCAAGGGTTAAAGGATGTGTCGTCACATTCGATGACTATGAGAGAAGAAACAGACATGCGCATAGCCGAGCCTTGACGTAAATATTGATCAAACTATGGATGTATGGCACCCAGGGGAGGGGAGGTTTTTTTTATGCTCTGGTCCAGGGGTCGGCAACCTGCGGCTCGCGAGCCGCATGCGGCTCTTTTGATATCAAGATGCGGCTCTCCAGCTCCTTGAACAAATACTAATAATCTTAATAAAAAAATAAAATATATGACATAAAAAAATGTTAGTGGCTCTTTAAAGCCAGGAAAATTTTGAAAATTGTGACTTTTGGCTCTTCCGCTTCAAAAGGTTGCCGACCCCTGCTCTGGTCAGATCAAGGAATGGTCAGATCAATGACTGGTCAGATCAAGGAATGGTCAGATCAAGGACTGGTCAGATCAAGGAATGGTCAGATCAAGGAATGGTCAGATCAAGGACTGGTCAGATCAAGGAATGGTCAGATCAAGGACTGGTCAGATCAATGACTGGTCAGATCAAGGAATGGTCAGATCAAGGACTGGTCAGATCAAGGACTGGTCAGATCAATGACTGGTCAGATCAAGGAATGGTCAGATCAAGGACTGGTCAGATCAAGGAATGGTGAGATCAAGGAATGGTCAGATCAAGGACTGGTTAGATCAAGGACTGGTCAGATCAAGGAATGGTCAGATCAAGGACTGGTCAGATCAAGGACTGGTCAGATCAAGGACTGGTCAGATCAAGGACTGGTCAGATCAAGGACTGGTCAGATAAAGAAATGGTCAGATCAAGGACTGGTCAGATAAAGAAATGGTCAGATCAATGACTGGTCAGCAAGAAATGGTCAGATCAAGGACTGGTCAGATCAAGGACTGGTCAGATCAAGGACTGGTCAGATCAAGGAATGGTCAGATCAAGGACTGGTCAGATCAATGAATGGTCGGATCAAGGAATGGTCAGATCAAGAAATGGTCAGATCAAGGAATGGTCAGATCAAGGACTGGTCAGATCAAGGACTGGTCAGATCAATGAATGGTCAGATCAAGGAATGGTCAGATCAAGGACTGGTCAGCAAGAAATGGTCAGATCAAGGACTGGTCAGATCAATAATGTGTCTGATCAAGACGTCTAAAGAATTAATTATTAATATAACTACGTTCTTATCTAATATATAAAGCTCAGTTCTGTATGTAATGCATGTTTGTCGTTGGAATTGTATGAATTTAAGTGTTAGAAAATTATCGTGCGCATTTGTCTAAATTTATGAGCTAAAAAATTACTATTGAAAGTGTTGGGAAATCATTTTCATTTTTCAAATTATAGTAATAATTGTCGGCATGTTCATTTAACACAAGTTTTAAAAAATATATCATCTTTTACAAAAATTCTAATTATGTCTTTATTTAGTCCTATAGCACCTACTTCCCTTTGATAAATTAGGAAAACACAATTACTTCCCTTTATAAAACCATTGCATTTTGTGGAAAAGTATTTACTTTTTAATTACTTTGTTTTGGTGTTGGGAAAAAAAAATAATTACATAATTAGCGGGGATTGATCAAGTGCAAATGTTGTAGGTATTTTACGGATAAGCTTGGAGTATTATAATTGTTCATCAAATTGAAACAGGCGCGTTCGTTTAAGTGAGTGCAAAAGACTATGAATAAGTTGGGGTACTATAGTCGTTCATTAAGCTAAAACAGGTGATTCCGCCCCGGGCGTTTATGTTCGCGTTGGTGTTTTCTTTGTGTTTAGGTGGGTTTGCGTTAGTGGTTGCGTTTTGATTTGGTTCGTTTTTGTTCTTTCTTTTTTCGTTTTTGTTTGTGTTTTTTTCTTTGGGTTTGTATTTGTGTTTTTGGTTGGTTTTGCGTTTGGATTTGGTTTGTTTTTGTTTGCTTTTTCGTTGTTGTTTTTTGTTGGTATTGGTGTTTGTGGTTAGGTTTGTTAGGTTTTTGTTTTCGTTTGCTTTTTTGTTTGTTTTTTCTTTGTGTTTGTATTGGTGTTTGTGGTTGTGGATGAGTTTGTTTTCTTTTGTATTTGTAATTGTGTTAGCGTTATGTTTGCGTTTTGTTGTTTTGGTTGGTTGTGGTTTGGGTGGGCAATGCCGGGTTTGTGATGATTACTAAACACACAGGTAATGGTCTTTAACAGAAAGGTTTTTCACAGAAGCCAGAGCAGGGCCTGGCCGGGACGGCTAGTGAAAACATAAAAATTGTGATTACCTAATCACATATATAGCCTACTGAGGAAATATACATCGACTTCTGTAAGGTTTTGAAAGTGTAAGCACTGGCTATCAGGATATGAATAGGATCACTAGCAGTCAAGTAGTGCAACAGTATCAACATTTTAAAATACGGGACCCTAAAATAAGGGACCCTACAATACAGACCCGTGGGTAAAGTTGTCGCTAGGGTACAGCCACACCATCACCTACCCTGTCTAGCAACTTCTGCTTGAGGAACGGTTTAAAGAGGCCAAAAATATTCCCGTAGCTGGCTGGTTCGTTCACGATATGGACAGCCTTAAGCCGGGCAGGGAACACGTCCTAAAGGTTCAAAAATGTCATTTACTTTATATATATATATATATATATATATATATATATATATATATATATATATATATATATATATATATATATATATATATGGCATATATATAATTACATATATGTACACAGATATATATATATATATATATATATATATATATATATATATATATATATATTATATATATATATATATTATATATGTGTGTGTGTGTATATATATATATATACATGAAATTTCAAATGTATCCGATTTTTTACCCCTCTTGTGTGGAGATGCGATAATTTGAACAGAAACAAACATCAAAGGGAATTAACCCACTAGAAACATTCATCAAATGGGAGATAACTAATTCAGGAGTTGCCCTACCTGCCAGAGGCGGCACATCCTGCGGGCGAACGAGGGCGATGTGTGGGCGAGGTGGGACAGCGTGAAGCCCGTGTAATCGATGATCAGAGTTATCCCGTAAACTTGAGTGGTCTCCTCCTGAAATGGCGTGATTTAAACTGTATCCGGTTTCGGTTTTGAGTTGTTTGCAACTTCCCCTCAGTAACACTAGATTTAACTGTCTATCTTTGTTGCTAGAATATCAAACGGCTTAGCTTCGTTTGGTCTTTGAAGTTTTAGATTTATAATCGTATTTACTGTTCATGTTTTTTTAAATGGATTTCTCGCTGATTCACTCTTAAAACATCGACATCAACATAAATACCCCTCCCTCTCTCTTTTCTCTCTCTCTCTCTTTCACACACACGCACACACACACACACACACATCCTCTATATTGCGTCAAAGAAACTAAATTTAGACTAAAATTAGACTAAGCACATGAACTGATCGTGTTTCACCAACTCCTACTTGAAAGTTGTTTTTATTTTGTGCCTACCCAATCCCAATACATTGTTTCTTTTATTCTACTCCATTTTAAAAAAAACAACATCAAGAACGGTAACTCTATTTATCGAGTAGTTTCCCTTTTGGTTTAATGCTATGAAAGCCAGGAATTCAAGAACTGGTGTACTTAGGTACATTAGTCATTCGTCTAGTGCGAGTAAACACTGAGTTATTTTTCCTTGATAGAGTTGTTTCTCTTGATAAATTAGATTTGGTACAAATAATAACGAATTTCAATCGATTGGTTTGTTTGTCTGATGACTTTTGTGAACTTGTTAATAGTGGTGTCTAGGTCATCTAGGGGTAAGATATGTGATGGTGAGGCAGAGGTGATCTGGTGGTGATACTAAGATGATCTAGTGGTGATACTAAGGTGATCTAGTTGTGTTACTACGGTGGTCTAATGATAATACCACGGTGCTCTAGTGGTAATCGATTACTGTACAAAGGTGATTGGGTGGTGATACCAAGGTGATCTGATGGTGATACCGAGGTGATTAAGTGACTATACAAAGGTGATCTGGTGGTGATACCAAGGTGATCTGGTAGTGATACCAAGGTGATTGAGTGGTAATGCCCGGGTGACCCGGTGTATAGTGATACCAACCTCGGTGATCTTGCGAATGGTGATACAGTCGGCCTTGATCAGGTCGAGCTCTGAAAACCTCGAGTAGTCCCATTTACCTGTAGATGGAAGCAGACGATAGATTGTGTACTGACATTAGTGTACACCTGTACTGTGTACACCTGTACTGTGTACACCTGTTCAATTTACACCTGTCACGTTTACAGCTGTTAATTGTACACCTGTGCTGTTACACATCACAAGTATAAACCTGTCAAGTATACACCTGTCAAGTATACACCTGTTATGTTTTCATTCTAGAATTTGAACGCGAAACAACTACAATAATAATTTGATTAGTTCAAGTTGGTAAAAAAAAATATTAAGGACTGGTTTCTTCATAACCATAGTACCTCATGAAGGTCTTACTGTCATCTCTAGAACCTTAGTTACCTGTCTTTAAAAGAAACTTTTAAAAGCCCTTACCTGTCTTCTCTGGGACCTAACCTGTCTCCTCTAGAACTCACTTGGTTTCTCTATGACCTTCCCTATCTTCTCTAGGACCTTACCTGTCTTCTCTATGACCTTACCTGGTTTCTCTAGCACCACCGACGCCCCCTTCCTGTCACGGATCCCCAGGGGTGTTGTGTAGCCACTTTCAAAGACATGTCGGACACAGATCGGCTTCAGATCTGCAAGTGTTGGTTTAAACGTTTTCAGTAGAAAATTACTGCACATTTGGCTGCAGGCATGGCTTGTTTGGCTGCAGCCATATGTGAAATGAAGGTGCTATACTCTCCCCGTGCACACCTCCCTATGTGTGAATTAGAGGTGGTTTACCAACCCCTAAAAACATCCCTGTTTATGTGAGAGAGTGGAGTTGTACTTCCCCTAAGTGTGAGAGAGGTGGTGCACCCACCTTGAACACCTCCCTCGTGAGAGAAGAGTTATACCCACCCCTAAACACCACCCCGTGATATGTGTTATACCCATACCTAAAAACCTCCATGTGAAAGAGGTGTTATACCCACCCTTAAACACCTCCCTATAAGAGGTGTTATATCCACCCCTAAACAACTCCCTGTGAGAGGTGTTATACCCACCCTTAAACACCTCCCTATAAGAGGTGTTATATCCACCCCTAAACAACTCCCTGTGAGAGGTGTTATACCCACCCTTAAACACCTCCCTATAATAGGTGTTATACCCACCCCTAAACACCTCCCTGTGAGAGGTATTATACTCACCCCTAAACACCACCATGTCAGAGAGGTGTTCCACCCCTAACCTCCCTGAGAGAGGTGTGTTACCCACCTTTGAACACCTCCCTGAGAGAGATGTTGTACCCACCACTAAACACCTCCCTGTGAGAGGTGTTATAACCAACCCCTAACCTCCCTGAGAGAGGTCTAGTACCCACCTTTGAACACCTCCATGTGAGAGAGGTGTTATATCCACCCCTAACTGTGAGAGGTGTGGTACCCACCCCTAACACCTCCCTGAGAGAGGTGTTGTACCCACCTTTGAACACCTCCCTATCGTCCCTCCTGGTGGTGTAGTAGTTTAGAATGAGCTGGAAGGTCAACTCCTGGTCAAACTTCCTAGCCCGCAGGAATCTCAGCAGAAACACCGTGTCCGTCCTTGCCCTCAGTCCTGCAAGTGGGCAACTTTTAGTGGGGTCTTCCGTATATAAATTTATTTATGCTTTTTTTTGCAGACCCCCTACCCCCTTGGCGACACCCCACCCCTACTCACAAATCGTGAGTAAAAGCCCCGTCATCTTAAAGTTGTCATGCTTTTGCCTTTTTCTCAAATACCAGTCATTTCTTTCTTTTGATTTAATATTTATTTAGCAGTTGCATTTCTTTAAGGGGACATAACCAGATTGTGTTTATTATGCGAAAATATTAATAGAGTTGATTCCCTTAACAATTTTTAATCTGCAGATTTTGAAAGTTTGAACTTATCGGTCTATGGGAGGTAATCAAGTTTTACTGCATCATTTTAAGAAAAACATAATCACCTCCCTTTTCACATAAATCTGTCGTGGTTTTTCTATATGGGTCTTTAATAAAACCTTATTTTATGACTACTCGGTGTGTTATAGACGCGTTTGGTTGAGTTTCATTCAAAGGCTGGAGTCTACCCAGCTCTAATGGGTACCGGTCAGGAGCTGATAGAGTAAAGGGAGATTAATATAGTGTTGACCGCACGCTGAAGAAACTGAAATTTGACCGTAGGTGAAATCTGTAAGCTATAGTATTTTATTTTACTCACACATTCATTTGATTCATCCAAACAGCAATTCTCAGTTTTTGGTTAAATTGAAGCTTTTAACTTATTTTGTTATAAAAGACAAACTTTAAAATGGTAACTATTTTTATAATTAGCCTTACAAATATATCTTAATTTATATTTGAATAAGTGCTTGTCATTTTATGAAAATGAATATAATTACACTAAATAGTACTGATACGTTCTTGAAGGAAATAGTTATAAACATAATTATAATTATACATTAATAAAGGACAGAGCTATAAATATGGACATTGTTATACATCAATAAAGTACTTAATTATAAAAATGTAGTTATATATAGTTAGATTTTTATGAAGGACATAATTATAAAATAATTATACATTTTTGAAGGACATAATTATAAATATAATTATACATTATTGAAGGACATAATTATAAATAAAGTAATACATTAATGAAGGACATAATTATAAATAAAATAATACATTAATGAAAGACATAATTATTAATGTGAAAATAACAACAAGGCCGGGTGTAGTTGGGAACCTACGATCTAGGAAACTCTAGTCTCGCTACACGTGCAGTCAATTTAGCCATGCAGTAAAAACTTGACTTGAAGTATGAGTGCTTATGACCTAAAGTATACGGCAAAAAATCAGCCCAACCGTTCGAATCCAGAAAACGGGAATTTTGTTTTCCTAAACCATTCTAGACGGTCATAAATTAACAAAAATTAAATGGATTCACTAATTAACTGAATTCCCTAATTACCTGGGTACTTTTCCAGCCTCTGACGTAAGGTTTTGACCTCGATGTGTCGCGTGCTGGGGTCTTCGTTCAGCTCCTCCATCGCCACGCGCAACGCCTGCTCGTCCAGGGGACATTTGTATTTCTCCTCCGTTGTCATGGTAACCAATCAACAACAAATGTCGCCACTGTTTTTAAAACGCGGGTCAAATCCTTTGGGGGAATCCAAAAGCTGTTAAAGAAACAAACACATTTGTAAGTTTTCTCTTCAGTCTGATCATCCAGCTAAAGTATGAAAAGTTTAGTTTTTAAAAAAAAACTGGCAAGCTGTTTTTATGCTTGCCAGTTAAGAAAAGAAAGCCATACGGTTGAGGAGATGCAGTGTCAATGTGACTTGTCAATTAGGACTTGATATGTTGAGGTGGGGTGGGGGGGGGGGGGGGGTGGCGGCATGTGAAGCAGTTATTTGAGGAACGGGAGGTGATGGCTTCGTTCTGGTGTTCATAAATATCACGTGACCAACAGGTCAAGGCAGGTCATCGAGATTTAATGACCTGTCATCAAAATAGTTTGGACATTGAAATCGATTGTTTATAATATACTGACGTATCAGGTGTTTGGTGTGTTATTAATTTCCTGGTGAAAGTTGACCCATTGAGTTGTTTGAATCACGATGGAGACATTTCTTAATCAGAATGTTATATTTTTTAAGGGACGTAATCTTTGAGGTATAAAAACAAAGGGACACAATTAATCATTTGATATGCAGTAGGGAAAACAAATCGGGTTGTTTTTTTTAAAGTAACTTGCATTTTAAAATTAAGCAACCAAATAACTAAGTTAATTTTTACTGCATACAAACAATTAATATTTATTTATTTATTTTATGAAGTAATTTATTGTTTTGTTTTGAACAAACTTTTAAAAACAATAAATTGTTAATGCACTATATACAAAAAACAACGTACCTGTGATTGTGTGAAAACGATGCTGTCTGCCTTGAATATCAGTGTTGGCGTGTTGGGGGTGAGTTGGAGGGCTGAGCCGTACTGTCATTGCGGCAGACACGCCCAGCTCGAGATGCTGGCACGAAGGTGGTTGTCCGTCAGCTCCCACCGTCAGCCGGGGTTTGATGACGGTGTGCGGGGCTTAAACCTAACCTAACCCTAATAGATGACTGACACGTTGAATCCTTGTGTGTGCGTGAGTGTCTGTGTATGTGTGTAAATCAATTTGCGTGCTTAAGCAAATCTGTATCTGTGTGTGTGTGTGAGTCTTTGTTTCCCCGATTCTGTATCTGTGTGTAAGTGAGTCGGTGTATCAGTATTTCTGTGTGTGTGAATCTGCGTTTTTGTATCTGTGCCTGAAAGAGTCTGTGTGTATGTGCAGTAGCGTAGCGAGGGGGGGGGGGCGGGGGGGGACATATGTCCCCGGGTGCCGAGGTTAGGGGGCGCCAAAATGGGTTGGAAAAATAAATTGAAAGGTTGAGGTGGTGCAAATTGAAAGTTTGAGGGGGGTGCAAATCAAAATCTCGAGGGGGGTGGTGCAAATCAAAATCTCGAGGGGGTGGTGCAAATCAAAATCTCGAGGGGGGGTGCAAATCGAAAGTTTGAGGGGGGGGGTGCAAATCGAAAAGTTTGTCCCCGGGCGCCGGGAAGGGTCGCTACGCCTCTGTGTATGTGAGTCGGTATCTGTGTTTCTGTGTTTTTGTGTCTGTGTTGTTTACACGTGTCGCGTCATACCTGAATACTGAAGCTAACCGATGTATCCGTACACGTCATTACAGTGTGGACACCTGTGGACTACCGTGGACACCTGTAGACACCTGTGGACACATGGACACCTGTAGACACCTGTGGACACACGGACACCTGTAGACACCTGTGGACACATGGACACCTGTAGATACCTGTGGACAACCGTGGACACCTGTAGACACCTGTGGACATCAGTGGACACCTGCGGACACCTGTGGACACATGGACACCTGTGCACCGCTGATGGTGTCTTCCTGCATGCCATTGCTTGTGTTTCAATATCTCGTCACACACATACACACACACGCCCCACACACTTACACACTCCCTCTACCCAGTCCCACATCACACACATGCACTCCCACAAGCACACCACACACTCGCCCAACACACAACACACACCTCACTCCACCCACACACCCCACATACTCTCGTCTCACACACATCCCACCCACATTCCCACACGCCGCGGTAGAAAGGGGGTCGAAAACATTCAACACAAACACAATGTTTTATTTCACGAAAAAACAAAACTTCATTAACTTAAATAATTAGGTTATGTAATCACAACTGTTAACATAGCACCAGACCTACATAACAACACTGATTCCTGATAGTCTCTATGACGGCAAGCTTGCTACAGTAAAGCCGATACGGAATTTAATGCGATTTGTCGGCACGCACAAACACAGTCATCTTCGTCATTGTGGGTCGATGGTTCTCAAGTTATGGACGGTGTTTTTATCCTGGGGTCTTTTTATGGGGGTTTGGGGTCAATGTGTGGTACAGGGGTCTCTCTGTGGTATGTGGGTATCTGTTGTGTAATATGAGTCTATGTGTGGTGTAGGGAACTCTATAATGCAGATGTCTCTGTTGAGTGGTATCTTTGTAGTGAAGGGGTACATTAAAGCTTTTAAGGATCCCTATGAGGAAATAGGGTCACTAGCGCAAGGATCACTAATGCAGGCGTCTTTAAGTAACTCGCGAAATAAAAGTAAAACAAACTTTCTATAGTAAAGGCTTTGGTCGATAATACATGTATTTTCTTATTGTTGGTGTATTTGAAAGCTAGTCAGTAAAACTAAAACGTTTTTTTTTTCTTTATATTACTTTATTGGCCAAAACACTTTTTTTTTTACCCTAGCCACCAACTTGACCCTTGACCCAGTTTGACCTGAGGATCCCAAGATGGCTGCCCGTGAAAACGAGGCTTTGCTAGAGTACATGGACCTGACAACCTCGTGTGGCAGCCCGCGGTTGGTCATGTGACCTAATCTATTTTTACCCGCACGCGTTTGGTCGTCTGCCATCACACGAAATGTTCCGGAAGTGACGTCACAGTGCTACATGGGGGAGGGGGAGGCAATTTTCATTAGTATTTCCTTTTGGAGGATGAATTACTAAAGGAAAGAGAAAAAAAAACTCCTTGGAATGCTGGCTGAAAATGTCCTTGATACACTCTAGATGTCAGCACATTTTGTATACTATCTTGTGTATCCCATATTATCCCAGATTTATAATGAAATATGGTGAGAAAGACGTGTGTCTATTTAATTCACATTGTATTTTAAAAATAAGGGAAGCTACAAAGACATGCAAGTTCAAAACTTAATTTATCGAGTTACTTCCCTTAGACCGTATCCAGCCGGTTTGCAAACAAGGGAAGTTATAAATTATAATAGTTCATGAATGTATTTTATGTGTTACTTCCCTTGATCGGGTACTCTTGATAAAAAGTTGATGTCGAATGAATATATTTTTTTAAAAAGCTATAAACTGTTAAATAAATTGTACACATACACTAAAATGAACAAAACATTACTTCCTATAAATATAATGATGCACAACTTAAACATTGAACGCTAATTGAATGTAAAGTATATGTGGGACACTTATACTAATAGTACTAGTTTTTCAAATAAACTTTTAAATGTATTAAAAAAATTCCATACATCTTATTATCTTAAAGTAGTTAAAGTTCATACAAAATTGCATTAAGATGCATTTAAAGCTAGAAAAAGATTGATGCAGTAGAGCTGGGGGAATCAAGTGCCATGAAAGCTTGTATAAAAAAACAGATTAAGAGATTAGTATCCATGCTTTTATTTTATAAATTATATTCATTATATCACAGGTAAACAGTATGAATAGCAGACATTAATTTTTGTAATGCTTCAATCTTAATCAATATAAATAAATTAATGTAATTAACAGTTTTACTTCCAAATTTTTATTTTTTTGATGCAACGATCTCTGGACTAAATTGAGAAAATATAATCATTAAATAAGTACATTTGAAAAAGTAATTATCACATTTGTATATGTGAAATGTAATCATTACATTTATACATAACAAAACACAGATACTTTATCTACCACATGCCCAAAAAATTTATTTGAACTTAAAAACGTCCACACATCTGCCACTCTTGTATAAAACATTCACAATATCAAAATGTGTATGTGTATAAAAGGATAATAAACATTTTGTTTCATATTTTCATTTTTGTGTTGTTCAAAAAGTAATTATGAAATATAATTACTAACAGCAAAATCACGAAATCCTCACAAAATAAGAAATTTTTTAATATTAAATTTCTGTCAAGAATATGTTTGATAATTCACAATACATACATCGTATTGCCAATGACTAACAGCCATCTTGTCTGCTTGTGACAACAAACTTGGCTGTATTTATTTCTTTAGCTTTTAGAACAATAGTAAAACAAACAGGAGGCCAATCAGATTTCAAGGATCCATTCACTGCAGTACAGTGTGTGTATAAATAAACAGGACTACATGTAGGAGACTTTCCTGTAGTTCAAAATATCATTAGACATGTCCAGTTGAAAACTGTTTTTAAGTTTCTGACCCAAGTCTAATATAATTGTAAAAAACTAACATTTCAGACTGAACTTGATGCTTAAGATATTAAAAAATTCCAACATTTCAGATTGAAGTTGACTTTATAAAATCCACATTTCAGATTGAAGTTGACTTTATAAAATCCACATTTCCTTACTGGTTCAACTCCATTTGTAAAACCTGGGTTGGGGGAATGTGCAGCTCAGCGTTCACCTGGTGACAAATTCAAGTTGCCATGACAACATATGTACACAAAAACTCTTTTGTTATCATAACATCACACCAAATTGTAATGTCTTAAATTGTAGGTAGCTGTTAATTATTTTACCACAGTGCATAATAAATAAATTTTGAAGAGCTAAATTTATAGCACAACCATTTTAACAAAGTTAAAATCAAACTTAGTTCTGTTAATTACATATACTTAAGCTGACAAGTTCAAAGAGTTAACTACTTTTGTGCTGACACGTTCAATGAGTTACCTACCCTAGATTTGACAAGTTCAATGAGTCACCTACCCTAGATTTGACAAGTTTAATGAGTCACCTACCCTAGATTTGACAAGTTTAATGAGTCACCTACCCTAGATTTGACAAGTTTAATGAGTTACCTACCCTAGATTTGACAAGTTTAATGAGTCATCAACCCTAGATTTGACAAGTTTAATGAGTGACCTACCTTTGAGTTGACATACTGGTGCATGAGTAGCCTAAGTTCAGAGTTTTGTTGCCTTAAACTCTCTGTGTCAGTCAGAAGAGCACTGCGCCCATTTAAAACTTCACTGCATCGACAAATAAAACAAGTTAAGTTATACTGTAGATATCGCAACAAAATTTAAGCATAAAAAGACATCATAAATAGAATCTATATAACTATTTTGTTTTTCATTTAAATGTTTAGTTGTTTAGACTTACTGTTGATAGTATGTTATAATAATAATAATTATTATAATTATAATAATATTCAAACATTTGTTAATTTTTGCTTCTTTAAACTTATCAAATGTTCAGAAATTTAAATCCTTATTTGTTTAATAATTTGCATTTATTATATAATAAGCTTAAAATAAATTGTACACACATGTAAAAATTCAAAACAAACTTAGACTATCATTGAATTTTAAACAAAGTAAAAAAAAAGTTTTCTTGACTGACTGATATTTTTCCAGCGCCTCAATCAAAGCATCCCATAATCTTTCCTTTTTCTGGGTGAGCAGAGAGGAGTACCTCGTCCAGTAGTCCGTGTCCTCCGAGTCATCCCTGTTCTTCAAGGCAGTGATGCGGAACTGCATCTTGCCTTTAGTGAATTTACTGAAAAAATATTTTTTTGGATAGCAAGTATTACAGTTTTAAAAACTTGAATTCAACTACATTTAAAATATACTATTATAACACACCAGGAGATCATAATTAGAAGTACAGTTATATACTGAGGTGGCAGGACAAAGTGCCTAACATGGACCTGTTGTGATGGACAAGCCCATGACAGTACTAATTAAAAGGAGGAAGTGGCACTGGGTGGGGAACACTCTGCAAAATACACACAAATGTGACAAGCCAGGAGATTGAGTAGGACCCCAGGGGGAGGCAAAGGAGATGGCATCAAAGACAGACCCGGAGGCGGAGTCTTCTTCAAGTCGTTCAAGAACTGAAGACAGCAGGGATGTCTTGGGAGATTGCAAAATTAATAGCCAGGGGCCGGACAAAATGGAAGGTTATTGTTGATGCCCCTATGCTCAACAATGTATAAAGACGACTAAGTCAAGTAAATCATTTTTATATTAGGAGTAAAAAATATTTCTAAATTGTGGAACCAACCAAGTATGAACATTCAGCTAGCGACTTTATTTGTAGACAAGAGAGATTAGGTTTAGAGTTCTTTACAGACTACATTAGATTACTTTACAGACTGCTTTAGATTACTTTACAGACTATTTTAGATTACTTTACAGACTACTTTAGATTACTTTACAGACTGCTTTAGATTACTTTACAGACTGCTTTAGATTACTTTACAGACTACTTTAGATTACTTTACAGACTACTTTAGATTACTTTACAGACTACTTTAGATTACTTTACAGACTACTTTAGATTACTTTACAGACTACTTTAGATTACTTTACAGACTACTTTAGATTACTTTACAGACTACTTTAGATTACTTTACAGACTACTTTAGATTACTTTACAGACTACTTTAGATTACTTTACAGACTACTTTAGATTACTTTACAGACTATTTTAGATTACTTTACAGACTACATTAGATTACTTTACAGACTACATTAGATTACTTTACAGACTATTTTAGATTACGCCACGTTTACACTTGCCACATGTATACCAAACACATCTAGAAAAAAATAACTTCCTGACGATAAAGTCAGTTCCATTAAAATAATTTTCAAAAACAGAAGAGTGAAAATTTACTTGGAGAGCTTCCTGACATCCTCTACAAAAGCCCGTAAAGCTTTCAAAACTTCGTTAGGGTGGATCAGCTCCACAAGTTCATTTGGGATGGTGGAGTGGGCAGAAATTTTGCTGGTCAGAAGTTTCACCTCCTCTTCCACGCTGTCACTCTAGACCAGATATTGTACAGTTACTTCTTCAGCAAATCAGGTTGTAAATATATGAAGAGTTTATTTTCTCAACGCGATAAGCGCCATTTTTGAAAAAAATGAGATAACGTGCCCGTATTGTAAAGCTACTCAGTTACTATTAGGAAAACTTAATTTTAATTTTAATCTTCACGGCGCAAAATTTTTATTTTTATTCTATTTTTGAAAAACAGTTTTAGCAATGGCTTTGTGCAGGAGAAAAGTGAGATTTTCTCAAAACCAAAATTTTGGATTTATTGCATTTTGAAAATAAACTCTTCATATTTTTTATCTTGAGTAAAATTTTATTATAAAACATATTTCTTTTATAAATCTTTTAGATTTTATTTTATAAATTTATTTCTTCAGGAAACATCAGATTTTATTTCAAACAACAAATTTTTAAAGTGGTAATATTTTTATTTTTTAATTTTTTAAATATTTGTAGCTGAAACTTAGTAAGAGGGACAAACACTGCATGAATAGTAAGAGAACAGTTTTTTCTTACCTCATGTACATCACCATCTGATTCACTTTTACTGATTTCAATGGATTCTTCACCCTAAAACAATACACATAAAAAAAAAAAATTAATACAGTAAATTTATTTTTGTGTTTGTTTTATGTTCAAACATGTTTTGTTTTTCTCGTTATAATTAATGAGATATTAAGTTGATGAGGAAACTACAGAACAATAAACTTACTTTCTCTTTGATGTTTATAAAGTAGGTTGTCAGCTTTTGAATATCCTCTTCTGTCTCAATTCCCAGAGCCTTCGACATGCAAATTAAATTTTAATAGCAATTTAAGCATGTTTTAACATGACTAATTAGTTTAATCTGACAGTTATCTTTCCTGTGTTATCATTGTTGAGTTGTTCCCTATCTTTTGGTATGAAAGATTGATTTAAAGATGTAACGTTTTACATTTATCCAATACACAAAATATACATGACTCTACAAACTTTAGAGTTGCCTTTACTTATAATAGAAAACAAAATAAACATATTGTAATGGCGGGGGAGGGGGGGGGGTTTCATCAATATTTTTTTTTAAATTAAAATAAAATACCAACTCTAATTATTAAAAAAAGTATTTCTTAGATTATCTGTGTTGAGGTTTAAGGAATGTTAATATTTTGTTCAAATTTGTGGTATAGTAACCAGCTCACACTAGAAACGCTAGAAAGTGTGATGTGGCGATATTTTATAAAAACTTACAGCAAAAATGTTATCCAGCTTTATAAGGGACTGCTCATCTTTCTCCAGTGGAAGTAGAAGTTTGTTTAATTTCTGCTCTACTAAGAAACCCTGCACAGAATATTTACTGCTGAATTGAATGCCTTCATTTATAGAAACTAAATATTTGCTTCATTTTAATGTCTAAAACTTTTTTTAAGCTTAAAATTAAAAAGTACTAATAAACACAAGGAATAAACATTGCCTCTTTTATTAAGGAAATAGTAAGTGCAATATTTTTACCCCTTCATCACACAAGAGTTCTAAAATCTGCTTGATTGTGTGGGCTGAGATTTTCTCATAGATAGCAGATGGTGGAATGTTGAACTCAACTGTTGATGGGTCTGACTGTCCAGAGTTGACTGCAAAGTCATAAGTCAAGTGGATAAAAGCTTCATCATCAACAGAGTTCAAAAATGAGTTTATGAGTTTAACATGAATTTTAATGAGTTTAACTTGAGTTTAAATACAACTTTGATTAAAATTTAATGTGAGTTTAACAAGAGTTTAAATGACCTGACACTTCCGACTCACTGACCTGACATGACGTCATGCATTATTTTAGTAGCTGTCAACTGCTCCGATGCTCTGGGGGCGAGTGGACCAACATTCTCTAGAAACTTCCTGGAATTTAAAAAGTTTCATTTGTCTATGCTACAGGAGAATGTGTTCTAAATGTAAATTAAACTCTAGCTGCATGACTGTTCCAATGAAACACCAGAGCACCACTTGTTGTACTCACAGATCTGGAATCTGCCACTCCAGACCCAACTGTTGCTCGTGTATGAGCCTGTCGGCATCCAGAACACTTTTGACCAGGTCCTTGCATTCCTCCTCGTTCATGCACCAAACATCGCTAAACTTTTTGGCATCAATTGCCAGAAAATGTCTGCGGAACAAAACCATTTGATAATCCATGTTAATTATTAATTCATTCAAAGATCAACTGATATCTTATCTTGCTGTGTGGGGCAGCATGGCCTAAGTGGTAGAGCACTAGGCTGCTAATCCAAAAGTCTCAAGTTCAAATCCAGGTTCAGGTCGGTGTAACAACCCTGAGTCCACCCAGCTCTGATAGGTGTCTAAATCATGTTAGGGAAAGTAAAGGCAGCTGGGCAAAGTGCTGACAACACCTTCCCTTCATATGCCGAGGTCAAGAAACGTGAACTCTATTTTATCTGCCCAATGGATAGCTAGAGATGATTCTTTACTTTACTTTATGTGTTGCTGGATAAAGTAGGCTGAGCATGGAGACCTAGGTTTTGCTTGTGTTGGTCATCTAGCCTGCCTGGTCAGCTGAGGGTAGCTGCCTTTACTGCCGACTATTAATGGCCCTTCATATTTTAAATAGACGATTTGGTCCAATAGTAGAGCACTTGACTGCTAACCCAAAAAACCTTGAGTTCGGATACCAAGCTTAATTCAAAGATTAACTGATTATCATATCTTGCTGTGTTGGGTGGCACGCCCTAAACGACATCCTGAGTTCACTCAGCTTTTATGGGTACCTGACTAAGTTAGAGAAATTAACGGTGGTTGGGCATAGTGCCGAGGTCACTGAAACTGGTGAACTCTACTTCACCTGATCGATTCGCTTCCCGATCTTTAAATAAATCTTATGAGTAAACATTGATACCCACACCTAAAGGCTGCAACAATCAATCCCAACAAACCAGAAGTTTTTAAACAATTTAAAAGAAATTTTGCCAGCTGGCACCCACTTAGATTTTTTCTGTAGTTCAGTGAACTGTGTAGTGATCCTCTTATAATCATCAGTCAGCTGAACGTTGTCGTCCTTGTACAGCTTCTCCTGCTTCTCTAGCTTCTGTTTTAAGGCATTCAAGATGTCTTGGAGCCTAGAGTACAAAAATCTAGTTTTAAGGCATTCAGGATGTCTTGGAGCCTAAAGTAAAAACATGAATCTAGACTTAAGGCATTCAGGATGTCTTGAAGCCTAAAGTAAAAACATGAATCTAGACTTAAGGCATTCAGGATGTCTTGGAGCCTAGAGTACAAAAATTTTCTAAATTTAAGGCATTCAGGATGTCTTGGAGCCTAAAGTAGAAAAATGACCTACACTATTTAAAAATACTGCAGTACAAATTAAAATCAGAAATTAAATTACAAAAAACAACTTTTATCGCTGAATGTTAGCCCAACAAAGTTGTGTACCTGGTAATCTTCCTCTTTTGTTGTGACTTCGTGATTGTGTTCTCATCGTCTCGTTTCTTCAACACCTGGAAGTTGTACTCCAACTTCTCCTGGTTCAACTGGCAGGTGGCGCGCATTTGTTGCAGCTGTTGTTCCAGGATCTGGGGGTCAATGCTTTAGTGGTCAAACATTGGGACATTTTATAGCAATTTTACAGCAATTTTTTCATGTCAATATTTTACATTGAGCCATATTTTGACTATTTGTACCTACCTGAACATTTGTCTCCAGTCGTATTTTGACCAAGTTAGTCTTATTTTGACCAAGTTGTACCCACCTGTACATCTGTCTCCAGTCTTATTTTGACCATATTGTACTCCTCTGCGTCCTGTACCCTCATCTGCTGCAGCTGATTCTCCAGATCCTCCACACGTTTGGCCCTCAGCTCCAGGTACTCTTCCTCCTTCTGTTGGCGCAGTGCCATCTTTTCTTCCCATCTCTTTTTCTGCTGTTCCAAAAGCTCATTTCTCTCCATAACAAAAGCTCTCTAAAATAAACAGGGAGTGATCTCCCCTAAACTTTCTCGAATATTCTTATATAAAAAAACAGGGGATGGGAACTCGGGCTATAGACATGATTTTTATTCCATTTTAAATACTTAGTTTTAAAAATAGAATAAAATCTCGTAGACAAAAGAATTGCACACCAAGTGAACGCCAAATAAAAAAAAGTGCATAATAGTGCGCAATATTATTAGTACTTTAAAAATTTACATTAGTTTTTTGAGAAATCGGAAGTAGCGTAAATTACTACTTCCGGTCAACGGAAATTACTCAAAATTTAACAGAAGGTAGAGAATTAGATCGTATACTTACATGTGAAATTTCATTTATCTATCTGAAATAGTACTCAAGTTATAGGCTTTTGAAAAATTCAAAGTAGAAAAAGTACCACTTCCGGTTATCGGAAATCGCTCAAAAGTTGATACGGATCTACGATTTTGATAAAATACTTATATATGAAATTTCATCAACCTAGCTGTAACGGTACTCAAGTAATCGTGTTTACACACACACACACAGACACACATACAGACACACAGACATACGGACAGAATTGCAAAGCCAAGTTTTTCAGACTGGATTACGCATAAAACCTCTTAATTTTGATAAATCTGGATTGATAATTTTTGCCCGATTAAAATAAGTCCTCTATACTTCGGATGTGATGAAGGACTGAGGTGTAATACGGTGAAAATTGTTAAAATTTCAAGTGATTTTTGTGTACGATTACAATACTTTCTCTATACTTCATATATACGAGAAAGTAAAAATTGGGATTTTATGCGGGAATAAAAGTATAGAGCTTAAAAACAAAGCTGGTGTAAAAAAAAAATATTTTGAAATCATGCCGGCAGGTGGCGCTGCACAATTTTTAAAAAAACAAGCCAGCAGGTGGCACTTCATAATTTAAAAAAAACATGCCAGCAGGGGGCGCTGCACAATTTTTAAAAAAAACATGCCAGCAGGGGGCGCTGCACATAAAAAACATGCCAGCAGGGGGCGCTGCACATAAAAAACATGCCAGCAGGGGGCGCTGCACATAAAAAACATGCCAGCAGGGGGCGCTGCACATAAAAAAACATGCCAGCAGGTGGCGCTGCACATAAAAAAACATGCCAGCAGGGGGCGCTGCACATAAAAAAACATGCCAGCAGGGAGCGCTGCACATAAAAAAACATGCCAGCAGGGGGCGCTGCACATAAAAAAACATGCCAGCAGGGGGCGCTGCACATAAAAAAACATGCCAGCAGGGGGCGCTGCTTACCTCTATCTCCTCTAACTCCTCCCTCTGTGCAGACACCAGGTGGTTGACTTGTTCGTTCATTCTCTCAATGATCAGGTCAATCCCTTCTGCCATTTGCTTCAGATCTTTCACGTACATGTCGTCTTTGGTCTTCAAAACCTAGCCATTAATAGTTTTATCTAAGCTTTCACATACACATTATCTTATAATTTACGTACGTATTATCTTTAGTCTTCAAAACCTGAGCAATAATAATTTATCTAAATTAAGGTGTTCGAACATCATTTTTTTTACTGTGCTTAAATATTAGTTTTCTTTAAAGGTATTTAAACATCAATTTTTAAACGGTCCTTAAAAGAAAGAAGGTTTTAACTTAATTTGACCTTGTGAGAGGAGTGGAGTTGAGAAATTTAAGAGAGAATTAATTTTCTATTTCTTAGAAAGGATGAAAAACATTATTTTTCATGAAAATAATGTTTAGTTAATGTGAAAACCCCTTTTGCATGAAGTCAATGATGACCCATGTCTAGCGTGCCACTACCTGCTGCAGCTCTGTGATGATTTTGTTCTTCTCGTCATTCATAGAGTCACATGACCTCTTCTGTTGCAGCAGCATCTAGGTCAGGAGATGAAAGAAAACAGAATTAGGTCACACAAGGGTTAAAAGATTTAAATACCTTATGAAAACCTTAAGTTCCAACTTAGAGTACACAAATATCAGATAAGAAAATAATACCCCTTAACCCTATAATGTCTGAATATAAAGCCCTATCTACAGTTTCAAAATGTGATATCCTCTGACCGGGAACAAAATGGTTAAAGATGTTTCAAAAAAAACAAATTTACCTCGTGGAGATCTTGGGGCACCTCTTTCTGCATGGCTGCACTCCATTTTTTTGTAATCTAAGAAAAGCAAAACAGAATATATTTCTTTGTGACATACACATTTTTTTTAAATCTAAGAATAGAAAAATAAAATATGTTTCTCTGAGACAAACACAGTTTTTGTTACCTAAAAATAGACAAATAAATATGTTTTTCTGTGACGTACACAGTTTTTTGCTATCTAGAAATAGAAAAATAAAATAAGTTTGTCTGTGACACATTTTTACTCTAAACAAGTTTGGGCCACAAACCTCTTCAAATCTTTCTGCTGCTGCTTTCACTTCATTATCCAACTTCTCCTTCCTAGAAAGTAAGAAAGTAAAAACAAATTATTTTTTTGTCATAAACTTTACATATGTCTTGAAAACAAACCTTACTTGTATAAATGACCCCAAAAAAACTGTGTAATTTAGGCACGTGAAATGCTATAAAAATCTGTATTATAGATTTATACATTTTTACGCCTACAAAATACTCTAAAAAATCTGTATTATAACTTTTTGTATTAATTTTAAGTTTTTAGATGTTTATACACAACTGTTATGACTGCTCACAATAAATATCCAGCTATGAGAGTTAGCCACAACATAAATTCAACAGTTCCCAGTGAACAAACTGGCCTCAGTACCTAGCCACAACATAAATTCAACAGTTCCCAGTGAACAAACTGGCCACAGTACCTAGCCACAACATAAATTCAACAGTTCCCAGTGAACAAACTGGCCACAGTACCTAGCCACAACATAAATTTAACAGTTCCCAGTGAACAAACTGGCCACAGTACCTAGCCACAACATAAATTCAACAGTTCCCAGTGAACAAACTGGCCACAGTACCTAGCCACAACATAAATTCAACAGTTCCCAGTGAACAAACTGGCCTCAGTACCTAGCCACAACATAAATTCAACAGTTCCCAGTGAACAAACTGGCCTCAGTACCTAGCCACAACATAAATTCAACAGTTCCCAGTGAACAAACTGGCCTCAGTACCTAGCCACAACATAAATTCAACAGTTCCCAGTGAACAAACTGGCCTCAGTACCTAGCCACAACATAAATTCAACAGTTCCTAGTGAACAAACTGGCCCCAGTACCTAGCCACAACATAAATTCAACAGTTCCTAGTGAACAAACTGGCCACAGTACCTAGCCACAACATAAATTTAACAGTTCCTAGTGAACAAACTGGCCACAGTACCTGATGCGTTTGGCCTCGTCATCAGCTGTTCTTCTCACGGCCTCCCTGGCATCTCCAGCTATCCTGACATTAGAAACCAGCTCAAAACCATCTTGACGTAACTTAGTTAACCGCTGACGGCTGTCTTCTATCTGCTTGCGGCTTTTACTGACCTCGACCTTGGTCACTTTTTCTTCATCAGGTTCACCAAGAAGAGCTCTTTATTGTTTTGATTTTTAAAAAATTTTAGTTTATACAAAGGATAAGAGAGGGGTAGTGTATGGGCAGATGAGGCTCAATAGCTGGGTCAGCAACTCATCTGAAAACTGAAATCTAACAAGAGTGGAACCCCCAAGTCTAGTTTCCTGTCTGTAGCTCTTGAGACACAGCTGATGCCAAGGTAAGGCCTCTCCCTTGGTGCATCAGCTGTGCGGAGAGAGGGGGGAGGGGCTGATGTATGGGCAACATCTGTCTCTTCTTAACTTGCTGCCCAGGCTTTGCACCTTGATCTCCAACACACAATTATCCTATCATCATTTTGATGTATGGAAATTAATCAGTGTAAGATATGTTGCGTAGCTTATGATTTATATGTATATGAACGTAAAATAATGAAAACAAGGTTTCTTTTTTAAAATTGATACGCCATGTGTGTGTTGGGGTGTGGGGGAGACAGTAACATTGTGTCATCATTTTGATGCAGTGACTTTCACATGTTTAGTGGCAACATTTAAAGGAAGGAAGAGGGTGAGGATGCTTCTGTGACATTTAGGAAAGACACATACAGAAACAATTGCTGTGTACATAGCTAGAGTTCTGCTGTAACGTCAATAGTTGAGTAAAATTGTAATTAAGATTGACAGGGTAATGTTAAATGCTGTTGTGAAGTGTAGTGTACCATGTACTAGCATACATATAAAAGCAAATATATATCTAGTATCAAGTATATTAAATCACATGATAAGTGTACAATATAAATGAATTTTAAATAAATATTAAATGACATGAATAAATGACGATGAAAACAGTTATCGATAATTGGGCATCGTGATTTTGACGAAGTTAATCTTACTTTCTTGCTGCTTCAGCCCGTTTAGCTATTCGTATACGACGAGCAGCTATACGCTCTTCCATATCATTAGAATTTACAGAAGGACCTGTGTTGTCCTCTTCTGAAGTAGAGGAAGCCATCTCGAAAAAGTAACTCAGGTCAGATTCACCAGCAAGATGATTTATATTGTTGCTATGTAGAAACGGAGTCACGTGACCAAAAATGTCGTAAAACTCTAAATACTTCTCTATAAGACTTGTTAATATTCAAATCATTACTTTATCGCTTGTTTTACATCTTATTGGTGTTGTTTTACATTTTTATTTCATTTTGCACAAAATAAAATAAATAACATTACAACTAACTTTTTACGACATAGTGGTCTATTTCCGCTGAGCCTTCTTCCTTTCTAAAACTTCATCATGGCGGTACGTACCAAAAACTATATTAGATCCAATGAAATCTCAAAACATCGCCCTTAATATTGGACAATATCATTAGCAGCATACTTTTTAAATACATTTAATACTTGCTTTGTTAATAAATTAATCTAATATGACTTCTGTTACGGTGAATACGAAACATTTTTATGGATATTTCCTAATCATAGTCCTTGTTTTCGTTTCCACTACATAACCTGCTTTTTAAATAAAAATTGCCTAACCTCAAGCTCTACAAAGAATACTATCTTTTTTACGTTTAGGACAAAGAAAAAGGCAAGGTAAATGTCATGAGAGAGTTGCGTATTCGCAAACTTTGCCTTAATATTTGTGTGGGTGAATCTGGTGACAGATTAACAAGAGCATCCAAAGTACTTGAACAGTTGACTGGTCAGACACCAGTTTTTTCAAAAGGTAATGGTAGCTAATTTAGATATCTTAATAGTACTCTTTCTAGTTTTATCTGCTTTTTAAAATCTCATTTGATTTGAATTACTTATTATTAAAGTAACTCTTGAAATGTTGGGAGTGGTTCTAGATCTAGTAATTGCACAAAATCAAACTTGTTCAAAATTCACTGTTTGATAATAGTGCCTGAAGTCACAGCATGGTGTGCTTTGCTATGTCTATGGACGCTGTATCTGTAGCCTTTCTAATTTCAAGTTAAGCTGTTCAAAATGTTCTGACCTGCCTTGACTTTGATGTTAAGTACAAATTTATGTGTGGTTTCTTTTATTTCAGCTCGTTACACTGTGAGGTCTTTTGGTATCAGACGTAATGAAAAGATCGCTGTTCACTGCACAGTTCGTGGTGCAAAGGCTGAGGAAATCCTGGAAAAGGGCTTGAAGGTTTGTTTTAGCTTGTGTATACTTGCAGATTTTTTTTTTTTTTTAAATATCTTGTCCTGTAAGGGTGGAGACACAGGGGTGCCACTTTTCTGTATTGACCAATTTTTCCCTAGATTAGTAAACTTAGTCTTGTGTAGTTTCAGTGTTATCTGGTTATCAATCTGATAATTTTGGCAGTTTAGACGAGCATATGTGGGTTGTAATGTTTACTACAATTTTGTACATTTGATTTGCGCTTGAGGGATGTCCTGGAAATGTCTTAGTATAAGGTGGAATAGTTAGCCTACAGCACGCGATTTAAGATCAGGACATATTTTGTGTTGTCTTTTCAAGATGCTTTCGAGTGCGCATTGTTTTATCAAAGGTGTTGCTCTGCACCACCAAAGAACTCTATACTGATCATGATATACATCCATTCTTATGAAATCATAAGCCTACTGGTTTTATTTATTCTAAGTTTTTAGAGTTCTAACGTTATTTAGGTTGCAGGTTTATAATTAGAGCTATTGAGTTACAGGATTTACTAGAAATATCAGTGGCACTCCTGATTCAATTGGTGGTAAACAAATCTGCACGCTGGCACGGGCTTACAACTTTTGTTGCTAGCCTGACTAATCTGATGTGCTATATGAATTTCCTGTTAGCAACTCAGACTGACTAAAATAGTCATTATTGTTACTAAATGCAGGGCACATGCTATATGACTGTTTATGAAATTGAATATTATGAATGCATTTGTTTTTGTTTGTTTTTTACCTTACCTTACACAATTGTTTAATGTTGTTTTTTTTTACCTAGGTGCGTGAGTACGAGTTGAGGAAAAATAACTTCTCTGCAACTGGCAACTTTGGCTTCGGTATTCAGGAACACATTGACTTGGGTATCAAGTACGACCCTGGAATTGGTATCTATGGTATGGACTTCTACATTGTTCTTGGGCGCCCAGGTTTGTATATTGGTTGTTTGTTTTTTAAATAATGTGAGTCTAATTGCTTGTGGGCTGGTCTGACTTTGTTCTTGTTTACTTTACAGGTTTCAACATCAGTCAGCGCAGACGTAGAAAGAGTGCTATTGGTGCCAAACACAGAATTAGCAAAGATGAGTGCATGAAGTGGTTTCAACAAAAGGTGTGAAGTTATATATTTTTTATCAAAGAAACTTGTTTTAACCATTCACAGATTCAATTTCAACAAGTTTCTTTTCATTATTTTTTTTTTTTTTAGACATGATGAATATTTTGTGACAGCGTTCACTTGTTAAATAAGTGGACGCTTTCACAATTCATACAGACAGGGTTTACACTAATAACCTGCTGTGTGCTCACATTTACCTTTCCGCCATGTTTTGTTTGGAGGGTGTTCTGGTAATTTTAATTGCAGACAAGTTTCAGGGCTATAAGAATAAATGTCAATGGTTACTCAAGCTACTGTCTGCTGACAAAATGTCTGCTCTTATTTTCTTTTCAAGTAGCCTATCATTTCCAAAACACTAAAAAAAACATTTACCTGATCTAAGCCTAGGCTACTCAACTAGAGCAGACCATAAATTACTTTATTTTCCTTTTTGAATAATTAACTAGTTGGACTGCTGTTTTAGTAATAGTTAAATTGGAAATATATTGCACTTAGATCATGAACAGATTACACAAGTTTAATGTTAGAAACAAGATCGTTTTATCATTAATCTTATAATAATTTAAACTTGGGATGTAACCTTAGAATAGTTATGTTCTGTCCCTTAGGCCAGAGAAAGGTGTTCAATAACTTTCATTATAATGAGAGTACTAATGTCGCATGATTTTAAAAATTAGTTAAAACATCTGTATCAGGTCAGGATTTTTATTTTCTTCAAGTTGTAAGAACACTACACAATTGTGCTCCTTACATTGGGAATTCATGTTGTTGTTCAGTGAGAGTGAACATGTCATTTTTTGTTAATCAACAGCATGTACATTTTTATTTATAGTATTTTCTTTTTGAATCATTAACCTTTTGTTTTTTAACTATTGCAGTATGATGGTATCATTCTACCTGGCAAATAAAGATGAGGCTGAAGTTGGTTAGGTCGTTGCAAATAAATTATCTAATAAGACCTACTGATTTTTGTGTTGTTTAATTTTTGTACTGTGTGGTGTTGCAGTGTATTTTTGTGTCCATGCTAAAATACTGTGGGGCTGGGTTTAGTGGAATTTGCTAATTTCTTGACCATTTTTATATTCTATGCTATGCCTATATGGAAAGACAACACTGTATACTCTAGTTCAAATAAGTAGGATTACGGCCCTTGGTAAATCTATTTTACTTTTACCTGTGTCTCTGGTCAGCACAATTGCTTTTGTACCAACATGCTGAGACTATCCGTTAGTGTCACTGGATCGTCTCAAACAGTGCATTTTTAATGCTTTGTCAAATTGTTTGCCTTGTGTGATAAGTTGGTTTCTACTTGATTTACTTAATCTCTGTCTTAAGTTCTGAATTTTGGCCGGCGTAATTCTTAAACAGTGGACACTCTGCCCCCTTCCTTACCGCAGCTAATGATTCTCAGGCTAGGCACAATTAAACATGTATGTGGCTATTAATAGCCCTTATTACCACCAACTCTGCCAGTTAATATTTATTGCCTTCGATCACGCTATTGTTATGTTCCACGTGACTGGCTTCTCATTACAGCCTTAGTGTGGCAATACTTTTTCTGAGCCCGTGGGTGGGGGGTTGATGGCACAGGTCACTGTTGTAACTTAAAAACTAGCAAGAACGGATGCCAATCCCGTGGTGTTGGCTATGTGGTGGTTCAACTTGCGTGGCCCAACTAGTCATCTAGTGTCTTTAACTTTACTGATCCAAGTTCTTTCTTAGTTGCGTCCTGGACAGCAGAAGACAGAACTTCTAAGGTGCATGGCGACTTGTTTCTGTAAAAAAAACATGTCATTGTGTAGCCTACGCGACAACCAAGAATTTCATCAATACTTAATGTGTATACTAAGTGAGCTGTCAAGCATCATCTAGAATTCGATCCCTGTATACACGCCATGCAGTGCTAATGAATATTTATCAGTGATTACGACTTCATTACAAGTCCCACACAATCAAATAAGTTGTACACTAACTCGCTCCGTTGCCCAACTTGCGAAGTCAGCCAAGTGTAAAGGGACGCAACTCCCGTTTGATCGAATGTTGCTAATGACAACAATAACCCGCGGCCTGCTATTGTTCGAATGTGTGGACTGGAATGCGTGCAGTTGACTTCCAATCAGCCGATAGGGCTGAACACCTGGTCTATGTGATCGATGTCTGATCAGTTGATCAAATCGTGCTCAGGTTGAAGTTGTTTACCTAAAGACATGGCGGATACGGATCAGGAACAATCTGTAAGTTGTTTGTTTTTATAGGGAACAATCTACGTTTTTTTCATTGGGAACAATCTGTAAGTAGTGTTTGTGTTTCTATGGAACAGTCATATTTTCCTTTTTGTCTTACGGTTTGTTCGATGTTGTTGAGAATAATGGCTAACTGTGGTGAATTGGGATAGCAAGTGGTGATACGGGCCAGTTAGTGGTGACATGGGATAAGCCTAGTAAAGTTAGTGGTGACTTGGGTTAGCTAGTGGTGACATCAAATACACAGGTCGTGAAAAACCCAGGGTGACATCGATATAGACATAACATGAGGCATTAGGATAGTTTGTGGTGACATGGGTTAATTAAAAATCACAAAAAAATTTTTTTTAAAGATATTACAATTTCCTTCTAACTACTCATTCGTGGCAATAAGTTCTATGCATTTGCTTTGCCATTAGTAGGTAATGAGTTTTTAACACTCTACAGTAGGCCCTATATCTAAAAAGTGATAAAAGTCTTAAATATTAAATTTGCTCCAATTAATACATTTTTGTGATGTCTAAGGTTATTAAAATATAATAAAAATATGTATTTCATCAGTAGAAAAAAAATATGGTTTTTACTATTAGTCCCTTTCTCCCTTAAACACATGTAACATGTTTACCCCCTTCGACCTTAGCATTATAAAACAACTTAGATCAACACCCCATATAATAAATAAAGCGGGTGTGATCTCCCCTAAACTTTCTCGAACATACTTATAAATTTAGACACTACGGGTCATGTGAACTGGGGATATAGACATGATTTTTAATCAGTTTTTAATTACTTAAACTTTTTTGAGAAATCGGAAATAGCGTAAAGTACTACTTCCGGTCACCGGAAATTACTCAAAATTTGAAAGAAGACAGAAAATAATATCTTTTTTTTATTTGTGTGATTTTTGTCCATTTATCTGAAACAATACTCAAGTTATAGGCTTTTGAGAAACCAAAAGTAGAATACGCTCCGCTGAAAATTTAGTTTAATACAGAACTACAAATTTGATATAATTCGTATATATGAAATGTCATCAACCTAGCTGAAACGGCACTCAAGTTACAGTTTTCACAGACAGGTACACGCAGACATAAGGACAAAATTGCAAACCTATGTTTTTCCGACCTAGGGAGGTGTAAAATCTCGATTTCGATTTTTTGCACGATTGCAATACTTCCTCAACTATACTTTGTATACGAGAAAGTAAAAATGTTAAAACCCATCTCTAATTCCACCGCACACACAAACCATTTTTGTAATACAAAACGTGATTTTTTTTTTTAAATCGACGATTCACATTAATCGTAGTTACGTAAACAGTTGGTTTTGTTTTTTTAATTAGTCAGCCCGTTGTTTCAACTTGTTCCCATTCAGCTTAAAGCGTAACAAAAAATGTGTATCAAGATACTCAAAGGCTGTGTAAATAACATTATTCTACACTATCACACCACACGACAGAGACGTAGCGAGGGGGGGGGGGGGGGGGGGGGGCTAGCGATGCGGACCGCACCGGGTGACACCATTTAGGGGGGGGGGGTGACACCAAGCCAAAAAATAGCAAAATATATAGAGAAAAATGATAATTCCACTTAATTAAGTGATTAATTCGAGTGTTAAATAGTCTTTTAAGAGGTGCAAATCGAAAGTTTGAGGTGGGGTGCATATTGAAAGTTTAAAGGGGGGGGGGGGGTGCAAATCGAAAATTGAAAGTTTGTCCTCATGAAGGGTCGCCTTTCGGGGTGACACCATTAAGTGCTGCACCGGGTGACACCAGACCTCGCTACGCCACTGCCACACGATATAAGAAAAAGAACCCCCTCCCCTCCTGCTATAATTAGGCCTAGATCTATATACTATATGCACGATCATTGAACATCAATAGTAACAAGGGAGACAATATTGTTGGAGAAACAAAAACAAATTGGCAAAAACTTTTAGGCCCTGCTGGTCGATTTTAGCTAATTGTAACTGATTGGATGTGATCTCTGTTATCGGTATTGATCCGGGAATGAAGATCGATCAGCCGGCGAGTGATCGAAGCCATTGGTCCAAACTGATCTTATGGCACTCAATAAAATATACAGGGGAGGTAATTTTAAATGGGTATATCGCGAGAGAAGAAAATATTACAAGCTACGCAAGAATCGTAAAGCCACGTTACAGTAGTACATTAAAACTGCTTTTTTAAAATGAATCCGTGTCTTTCAATTTTAAGCAGAATTCGCATGAAGCCAATAATTAGTGTGCATATTAAAGACGAGAAAAATGGCCCGTTGAGGAAGGATACACCGGGCGCTAGGCTGATAGTGCTGTCTCTTTTCTCTAAACTAAAACCACCCCCCACCCCCCACCCCCACACCCCCCCACCCACCCCCCACCCCCACACACACCACCCCCCACCCCCACACACACCACCCCCCACCCACCCACACACCCCCCCCACACCCCCCCCCCTAAAAAACATGTCTACCGTCCCATTCAACGAAATATAATTATTTACTTTTTCCAGTGTCCGCCCCCTCCCCGAAAATTCTACCCCCGCCCCCGAAAATTTCAAGTACCCTCACCCCTCTCCGTGGAGGAAAAAGTCTGAAAGAAACACTGGTGTCGCGCATAGCCACTACGCGAAGAATTGCATTAAAGAAATTGCAAGAAAACCACTTTTTAGATTAGACACATTAATTAGGCGGTAATTTTATTATAGAGTATCGATGAGGAAATTTCTTTTGAGTTGGGGAGAGGGGGGGGCTCAGACGTTCTTACGCGGGGGTGGGGCTTCGCCCCTACCCGAAGAATTGTATGAAAGAAACTTCACGCAAACCACTTAGATTAGACCAAATTAGACCAAATCAATGACGTCATATCAATGTGTGCACTATCCGGCTTGAGATTATTTTCTACTCTGTGCGCTAAATGTGTCGACGTCATACTTCGTTTTTCGAATTACTATGCATGTTTTTATTTTCCTTGTGTTTTCTCTAGAGCGTTCTTGTCAGACAGATAGATAGATAGATAGATAGACAGACAGCGAAACTATTAGTATTAACTAGATAAATGGCCCGTTGAGGAAGGGTACAACGGGCGCTAGGCTGATAGTGCTGTCTCTTTTCTCTAAACTAAAACCAACCCACCCCCCACACACCACCCCCACCCCACCCCCACACACCACCCCCACCCCCCACCACACACCACCCCCACCCCAACCCCTCACCCCCACACACCACCCCCTCCACACACCGCCCCCCCACCCCCCACCCCCCCCCCAAAAAACATGTCTACCGTCCCATTCAACGAAATATAATTATATACTTTTTCCAGTGTCCGCCCCCTCCCAGAATATTCTACCCCCGCCCCCGAAAATTTCAAGTACCCCCACCCCTCTCCGGGGAGGAAAAAGTCTGAAAGAAACACTGAAACCAACCCACCCCCCCCCACACACCACCCCCCACCCCCCCACACACCACCCCCCCACCCCTCCACCCCTCCCCCCCCCCCCCCCCAACCCCCAAAAAAAAAACATGTCTACCTTCCCATTGCAAGAAAACCACTTTTTAGATTAGACACATTAATTAGGCTGTAATTTTATTATAGAGTAGCGATGAGGAAATTTCGTTTTGAGTTGGGGAGGGGGGGGGGGGGGGGGCTCAGACGTTCTTACGCGGGGGGTGGGGCTTCGCCCCTACCCGAAGAATTGTATGCAAGAAACTCTTCACGCAAACCATT